TAGCTTACAGGTTAAAAATGCCACTCACTTAAGCTAAATAAGCTAAATATTTTACAAGCTACTAAAAGATAAAGATAGGCAACGTTTTAACCTGTCAGTTAGTTGAGAATAAATCTAGTCGACTGTTATCAGTGATAGATCTGCTACACCTTTCTATTTTATTGGCGTGAATGTTTTGTTAATTAGTTTAGTTTTATATTATACCTACTATGTTTTGTAGACAGTTTTGTTTTTTGATTGAAATTTATGAAGTTTTCGGTAAAAGTTGGAATTGAATAGTTTTGTGATGTTTTTATTGCTCCTTTGGTGATTTGTCGATGCAATTGGTATGACTTCGATTAGGTACATTGTTAAATTAGTAGTAGTTTTTATATGTGCAAATTTAAGTAACTACTTATTCGCGATTTTTATAGGTGTAAGTACCTAAATAAAAAACAAACTAATAAGTTTTTTTTTGTGAAAAAGTATCCAAGTATAAAGTAAAGTAGTACAGCAGCCTTTAGTGCTGTAATGTCTACCTCTGGCTACCCCTTTGGGGTAAAAGGCCTGATGTCACAATGAAAAGGTATCACCTGAGTTTCTTTCTAATCAGATACAAAAACCAAAAAATATAATCTATCAAAAAGAATATAGGTATACCCGTTATTTTACAAAGTCAAAAGTCAAAGTCAAAGCATTTATTTCAATTAAACCATATAGTTTGGTACTTTTGAAACGTCAACAAATACAAAATAAATAATAGTCTGTCAGTCAGTCCGTCAGTGAAACTAGGTGAAGCTAGTTGCTCATTCCAAAAAGTAGATTCGAATGGAGAAGAACGAGCAAGAAACTCCATTCGTTACTCTTTTAAAACTAAAACTCTTAACAAAAATAAAACATTGTGTCTTTAAAATGATTCCATTGTAGAACGCTCCCTAAAACGTAGGGTCAACCGAGCGGCCTGTTCGATTCATTGTTTAATTCGATATTATTATTACGATCGCCTGTCTGTCTGTCCATTTTATAGACGGTGGTGTTAACGTATTGTTCTGTTACTGTGTATTGGAGTTCGATTTAGAAAGAAACTGAGATATATTAGAATAATAAATAGAATGATATGAGGTATTTAAAAAAGTATGTATAATAGTAATGATGATAAGGTATGAAAATTAAAAATCCAATTAGTCCGTCAGTTAGGTAATGAAAAAATATTAGATAGACACGTATTTTTTTATTTTGTCGTTTATGAAATCAATACTTATATAAAACGAATCATAGTTTAGGAGTGGACGGTAGCTACGTCCTTTTAGAGTATAATAATCGTAATCGTACTCAAAAGTGACGTCATGCGATATATTTAAATCAATATATTTTCGAAACTATTCGTTTCTGTAAGAAAATCTTATACTTCTTATACTATTACATAAAGCGGAAGAGTTTGTTTTTTGTTTGTTTGTTTGAACGCGCTAATCTCCGTAACTACAAGTCTAATTTGAATAGTTATTTTTATGTTGGATAGCACATATATCGAGGATGGCTATAGGCTATAAAACATCACGCTACAACCAATAACAATAATACCAAAAAAGGAGCTGAGCAGAGCGTGTGAAACCGTGCGGAAGTAGGTAGTAAAAATACGTGTCTAATGATTTAAAATAATCTACCAGACGGACATTATAATAAAATTTAGTCATGTATCCCATTAAAATGAATACTTTATGAATCAGTCATAAATAGCTATTTTTTAATGGGACAAGCCATTTAAAAAAATAGCTGTTCATAAACAGCTAGTCACAGTCCACTATTGAGTTAAGCCTAACTCTACAAAACTCTGTAGTCACGAATTTAAAAATATTTCTTGCCACATAAATAATCAACCTTCGTCATATTGACAGCCTATAAAGATCGCAGGAATAAACAGGATAGAGATCATCGCCTTATCAACCTTATTTAGGTCTACGTCTAGTAGTGGACATTTTGTGGCCGATGTGGTGGTGAACTTAATCGACATATCGATACAAATATATACTAGCCAACAATTATTTTTCTAATCAATTTCAATTGCAATCAAACTTCAAACATGCAAAACAGTATTTTTTTAATATAATGTTTTTTATTGACATAAATACAATGTTCTTGTAAGGTATAATTTATAAAGTTAAAAAAATAATATATTGTAATTAATTTTTACATTAGACAACCAAATTAGCAAATTTACAGTATTCAATCTCTCAGAAAGGGACAAGTTTCGCCATCTATCGGTCAATATTTCAACCCTTCGTAGCTAAGAATCACAACCCTTCTTTACAAGTCTGCTTGTCTATGAAATGATAAGGGTTTTGTCTATTTCATAGTAAAGCTTTTGGTCTATTTCATTAATTATTACATTAAATGTTCGCAAGGAACATTTAAAATAGGTATTATACACAAAAAATGAAACAATAAAAATCACCAAAATAATATTTATTTTTCATAAACATTTATAAAAATAACTTTAACTACAAAAAAATATCTCAAAAAACAAAATGAAATGAGATGGAATTTAAAAATGGAATCAACTGAATCCATGGATTTCAGCAATAAAATTTATTTCTTAAAAAGAGTATCAAACATTTTTATTTTAAACTTTAAAATTAAAAGTAAAATAAAAAAAATAAAAACACAATCTTTTTTAAATTAAAATTAAAAACAAGCCAGACTATAACAATATTTTAATACCTATTTTACATCGATAAATGCCTCAGTATCAACACAACGGCTTCGCTAATTGCTTCACCTTGAAAATACAATACATGCCATTTTTCTAAGTCCGTTTGAAATACCTACGTGTGCATAGACCGTAGTACAGTCACTCCCATGCATGCCCCTCCTGCCTATTATATCGTTATAGCAATTTATACTTGCTAATGATAAGTCGGAGTAAGGCGGGAGGTAACCAAGGAGTGGTGATAAAAAAATCATAGGTACTTACTTACCTATGGCAATTTACAAAAATATTCATTGAATTATTATAAGAATACAACAAAATGTTTAATATTTAGGGTAAAATAGACATAAATAAAATTAATATTAACTATTATGAAATGAAAATACATATATACAACTTAAAATATAAATAACTATGAACTAAAACTTAAAAAAAAATTGGTAGTTACTTCGTTTTGTTTTTTTGTGACTTGATTTTTTATTTTTATTTTTTGGAATCGAATATTAGTTTAAATTAAAAGTTGATTATCAAAGTGGTTGTATAATAATATGTATGGCACAATTCACAGTTTATTAATCTAACATCGTATCAATTTAATACTATGTTTCGAATCATAGCGCCCTCTATTTTATGTTAACGAAAACATTTATTGTCTGTCTATCAGAAACGAGTCCAATCTTTGGAAACACTATAAATATCTTACGGAAATTAATAATCACGTTTAAATTAAATATTATTTAATTAGCAGTATTAAATTAGTTAGACACATGAATCTAAGTTACCTAAGCTGACATTAGATTTGCAAGATATTTTACAAAGTAACTACAAAATAAAAAAATTCAAGGTTCTGAAAATAATTTAAAACTGATTTTAACACAGAAGAAAAGTCATTCAAAGTAGTTATTCAACGGCAAAACTTCAAATTCTTAGAAATTAGATTCAAAACTGTATTCAGATTGGGCAGCACTATGTATGCTAACTTGAAAAGAAAATATTTAAAATTTACAATATTTTAGAAAATTAAACACGTAGTAGGTACTAAATACTCTCAACGTAATTATTCTATTAGTTATTTATTGATTTTACGTGCATAAATGTCCATTTTATTATCGAAAACCTGGTAAAAGACATTTTTTCTAGTGGGCTACGCCATCTGTCGTGGGGTAGCGAATTGAAATTTTCGCGAAGGAAAACTCTCACAGGGCCGCGAATACAGCGCTCGACGAGACATGAGACGTTGTATTCTTAGACTAAACTATTCTTGAGTCAGGTGATTTGTTTACCAATCCTTCCAAAAAACTGACAAAACTACTTGAAAATAACGTAAAATATATTAATATACGAATATTCTAATAGTCATAGTAACTTTTCTCCTAATAAAACGAAAGAAATATGTAAAGAAGGCGGAAAAACATAACTTCCGCAATCCATTTCCTCAACTTTAGGTAAAACAGGAAAAAGTTAACTCTCACAAAAACATCGTTGGCTAAAACCCCATAACCTAAGCCCCGCCTGAATATAGAAAAAAAATAACATAATAGTAAAAGAGGCGTCGCGAAAAGAAATGCTTAAAAACTCCACGCGAAACAGCGATATACTAACCCCATAAGTGCGAGCGAGACAGACGTCATTAAGAAAAAATCACAAAGAAACCCATTCTTTTTCATTTCCTCCCTCACTAATAGCGGCTTAGAAAAAAATGGGGAGCTCTACTTGTCCCGTTCTAACATGCAAGGGTGGGATAGGCTCGGGGTCGGGCGAGCGAGAGGGGCGACCACCCTGCGGCGTCCTTAGCGCCCTTTTTAATAGTTCTTATTTCGGCCGTAGTCCGAGTGGTCCGTCATGCGTTTTTGGGGAAATTGTGTCCGAGTGTGTCCGAGGCGAGGCGCGCGGGGCGAGGCGCGCGGTCACACGGCGGCCGCTCGCCGCCGGCCGCGCCGTCTTTTCCTTGACCGGACGCATTTTTCCGCGGAAAAAACGCGGGGCGCGTGCGCCCGGCGTCGGTGGGGATGTTCTTGGCTACGTCTAAGGCGGCGGGGGCGGCGCCGCGTCTTGCTAGTTGGACCGGCGTCTTCGCCTGGCGCGCGCGTCCGCCCCACCCCGCAAGAAAGCGTCGCGACGCTCAAGTTTTCCACCAAGAAGTTAGTCGTCGTCCGCCCGCGTCTCAAGAAGGTCTCGTTTCCGCTTTCCACGGGACTTGCGCTTTTCCGGGGGTGACTAGGCCGCGAAAAATTAAATAAATTTTAAACCGCGATAACTTTTTGCGTAAATATTTTTCGGACGCGCCGCGCTAAAAGAGATTGTTGTATTGCAGATCCGAAGACATCGTCGGAGTACGAAAAAAGTGTAAATAAAAGAACCGCGAGCGATCGCATGTCCTCGTTGTGACGATACGTCCGAAACTGGAATTAATGTTGAAATACTTCAATGAAAACATATCCCTAGCGCTGCAGGAGAGGTACAGGGACCTCCATGAGTATCGGAAGACGGAAGCGGTAGAGGAGGGCTCACCGAGGGAGGCTAAAGTACCAAAAATAGCTGAGGAAGGCGAGCAGGTCGGCGGCGAGGGCGCGTTTGAGCCGAGCGCCGCGCCGCCGTTCCCTAGACTGCTGGATCCTCCCAAGGAGGAGGATAACTTCGTAGCGAGCTGGCTTCAGAACTCCTTCAAGATGACAGCCGCCGAAGGAAACAACGAGGCTTCCGCTGGAGGCAGCGCGCTGGACCTCCGCGCTGCCCCTCTATCTCTCCACATACCAACGCTGCAGCAGGCGGCTGAGGCACAGAGGCAGTTCAAGATGCAGGACTTCTGGAACAGAAGCCGGCCAGGCTCTCCCAGCCAGGACCAGCTGGGGGAGGGCCACAGCCAGCCAGGGCCGGCTCCTCCAACTCCTCAGCCACCAGCAACACCTGATCACAAGATTATGACCGAGAAGCTGGTGAATGAAATCCAGGTGAGTTTTTGAACATTTAAAATCATTTTAGGTCGTGATTAGTGATAGGAAAAATATTCTAATAATTTCTAAAATAATTTTGATTCACTAATTATAAACAAGATGTCTAAATATGAGTGACGATTAATATTTTCAAAATTTCTTAAAGTGATTAGAAAAAAGATTTTGTGTATTCTAAAACCATTTAGAAATTCTAAAACGCAAAAGAACTTGGAGCGTTTTTTGCGTATATTTTTCACACCGTCGGCAAGACAACCGTGAAACTTTACCTGAAGTTGTCACTGAAATGTTTTCACTGAACCGTTTAACAGTCTTGTTAATGTAGAATATTTCACAACGTCACATATTCACGTACGAATGTAAACAAATACGCGTTAATTTGAACTCGAAAATACTATAAAAATCACGTCTATCTTCTTCAAACATTCTTGATCAACTGACCTCAGATTACTCCGAGGTGAAACCCGTTCCAAATTTGAATGATCCCTTCCTTATAAAATAAAAAAAAGAAAGAAGCCAAGGCAACATATTGTAAAGCTTTGTTAACCCAAGAAAGGGTTAAGGTCCTTCGTCAAAGTTATTATTAAATCGTTTTTGTGTCCTTATGTCGCATCCGGTTTTACAATGGATATGTAAATAACAATAATCTGTGATAATTCTATTATTACCTGTGATCAACTTGTCGACAATGTCGATTATTTTTTTCTTTATTCCTCCACAACATTTGTTTGTTTTGGGCATATGGTTTGATTATTCTGTTTGATGTCCCGTTCAGTGATGTTTTTGTGACAATAACGTATATTTGAATTTTGAATTGGCCGTATAGAATTTATTCGTTTTTTGAAATTGGTTAAACCGATGTCACGCAAAAAAAGAAAATATATGAACGGGAGATAGATATTAATTAGGTGTTTTAAAATTTCATTGTGCCTAGTATTCTTACTCTGTAGAACTCTATGTGTAAATATATAAAAATATCAAAGTTGATTTATAATTGAAAATAATACATTTCTATAGCACAACGAAAATCAAATTCCAAGTCCGTTTTCCGCATTTAGTTAAATAAAACTCACAAAACCGTTCGTTCCATTTTCTAAAATTCATAATAACACGAAAGCTCTATAAATCCTATTTCAAAAAAAGAAAAACGTACTGCCGCAACAATAAAAAGAAAAAACAAAAAAGGAAAATAGTAATAACTTTCTTAATTCAAAATTCGAAAACAACAGACAGACGAAAGAATATTACATTTTAAATTAGTTTTAGATACGTTTCACCTTGCGATTCCCACGGCACGGGATTAGGGACGCGATCATTTTTATTTTTTAATTTTTTTCTCTCTCTTTTGTTTCACTGAAGGGGTGTTGACAGTTATTTGTTTCCAAATCTTTTTTTTCCGTTTTCGAAAATTTCTGTTTGAATAACGAAACCGGTTTGGCGAGATTCGTGTTTCGCATTCATAGATTTTTTTGCGTAAATTGAGATTTAACGGTTCGTCGCTTTGCGCTTTTGTGGTTTAGTTTTTTTTAAAGAATAGTTAATTAAAATTTGATTTATTAATATTTTTATTGTCAAGTCAAGGGTTTGCTATCAAAATAACGAATTTGATTGTCCTATTCCTTCTTCAAAAATTAGTTTCGCTAAAGTATTGTCTATTTGTATTCGTCGTGAAAACTATGCGTAAATAAATTGTTTCTGTGGTAACCGTAAATTTTATAAACTTGATATAATTACTTTAAGTGAGAAAATACAAAATTCGTACATTACATTATAAAACAAGCACATTTCCGGGTTGACCTAAATTCAAAATAGATAGGTACTTACATTCTATGGTACTTAACCAAACCCTGAAATAAAACCTAGTCTAAATCATATCAAACAGCATACGGCAAACTTAATTACCTAAATGAAAAATGGAACAACGACAACGAAATTATCTACGTCTTACAAAAATGTAATGTAAAAAAATCAACGTTAATTTTGAACGTTAAAAAAATGAATGTACCAATAAATTGACTTAGACAATGTCTCTTTTTCACGCTTTCCTTGGGAATGTAAGCAGCAACAACAGTCACCATCAGCCGACTCCACAATGAGCGAGCGGTCCCTCGTACCATTTGCGCTGGTAAATTTACTATCAACACTCAATAATATCGATGTAAATACATTTTTAACTCTAAATGTCGTGTCTGTCCATTTTTTTTGTTATTTTTTTAGTTTTAACCAAATCACATTTTTTTAATTTTAATTTTTTAGCGCTATGAATTTTTATGTTGCACTTTTTTTGTCCAAAAGACCTTGTCATTGTCCACTGGTTACTAAAATAGTAAAATTAAAATACTAAAATGTATTTTGCATGGGTTGAATAACAAAACAAATGTCAGTAACTGTATTAACGATAACGATTACTGTAATCACGTAAATATGGATCTTATTACACCTAAAAATAGGATTTGTAATCGTTTTAATTATTCCGGGGACAGTGGACATTGAGCTTTACTAGTAACGGTTTTAAAAGTAGTAGGTTTTTTTATTTAATTTTTCGTTTTTAACCGTTTAACAGCATGTGCACGAAGTGTTGTGTAGATTTTGGTAACAACCCTAGTCTAGGGTAAGTGTTATTTTCTTTTTTTACTAATATAAGACATGGGTTCCATTTTTAACTTTTAATTGCTTGTTTTTAACATTGCTATGTTTCTTCAAGGGTTTAACAACATAAAATGTCCCATTCATATTTATGTTGCTTTCACTCATTCTTGGCATCATAACCATTAGATTAAAACCTTTTTGTTCTAGTAACTCACATTTATTTTCATTTTCGAACATAATTTAAAATGTATGTACACAATTAAATTCAAATTCTAAAATTGATATTCGAAAATGAAAATAAAAAACATTATCATTTATCAATTTCGCATTTTATTGAATATATCTTGATGAGTGCAGTATAAAATATGAACCAATATGTTTTATTAAAATCATATTTTTGTCTATTTGCGCATGCAGCCACAACAGCAATCACCAACTGGAGAAACACCGCTCGGGGATCGCAACGCAATGTTACCCTTCGCTCTGGTAAATGTCCTGAATAGCCTGAATATCGATGTAATTATTGTTTTTCTTTCTCTCCATTCTTCTATTTCTATACTATAAAAACTCAACTATTCAAAAACTAAAACTAAAAAAAGATAAAAGTTTAAATTTCATTACATTTTAAAAATATGAATATTAATTTAATGCTCTTTTAATAATAAAGAACATTTTAATGCTTTGTTTTATGAAGAGTACCTTTTACTTATTTGAGCAAGTACTTTTTACTGTAAAATATAATTTAACTGAACGAGTTTTCATAGTAGAGTTTTCTTAATTGTAAACTTTATTTTACTTTTTTATTTATTTTATAATAACACTAGCAATTTCTATCTTCATTATTTTACTGTATCATTCTATGTAGGTACTAATTAAACATCACATTCTTATTTCGCTTCGAAAAAAACATTTTATTAATATTTCTTATTTCACACTGAAACTAAAATAAAAAAAAATCTTTCCTTTTTTACTTTCTTATTAATAATAAAACACAAGTTTGTAAAATATAATTTGAATTGCTTACTTTAAATCATTTGTGAGAGCTATACAGGTATTTGAGTTTTTTGTTTTTTCCACAGCAACAGGCGCGGTCAGGGCAGACTATCAGTGAGAGAACTCTCGAGGAGTGCTGGTCGACACTTCAGCGAGTGAGTTGGCATCTGTTTCAATGTGTATTGTTATCTTCCAAACGAAGGGGACGCATAGAGCGACCGTGTATTTGTATCACCATTTTTTAATTTTAATTTGTTAATTAATTTCAAGTAAAAAATTATTTTGTATTTTTATTTTTAATTTGTTTCAAAAATGAATGCATAATACACAGTCGCTAATATGTAACCTCAAAAATAAACTGGGTATTGGTTAATTTACCAATAACTATTACTATTTTAAATTATTTATATAAGGTGAGTTGTCATTTTTTATAAACATTCCCACTATAACTCAATAAATACAACTTTATCTAGAAACTAAAGTGTTTTATCGGGAATCTAAGCAGTGGGTGGCGTAACTCGTTTGCTTTTTTTTAAACAGGAACTATAAAATATCTAGTCTGAATCTAAATGTTGCATATTCATTACTGAGGAAGCGTTTTCGCATAGAATCGTTCAAGATAAAAAATCTTGCGATAAAACGCCGCGGGCGTGTTAACAATTTATTTAATCGAGATTCAGGCGCCATTTTTGTTTTTCATTTTAATTTCTGCAAACCATCTGCGTACAAGGTGGCGTATGATAAGTCAGGAAGTACTTGTTACGGGATGTTATGCATCTGCATTTTATTGTTGCAGTTTTTTATAGGTATCGAGGTATCGGATTGAATTATGTGATACCTATATTTAAACGCCTGTTTTATTGGAAACTAGCCGAGCCGGCAAACAAATGGCAAATGTTTTTTTCCAGTCTTAAACCTTCCCTGGACTTCCACAATCATTTGAAGTCCAAAATTAAATTATCCAAATCAGTTCAGCCGTTCGCGAGTTTTAACTAGACTAACGAAAGGAAATTCATTTTTATTTATATATAGAGAACCTACCTACTTAGTACAAGAATAGGTGTGACTATAGATATAGTAATATTGTAATGAAATTAAGTGAAAATTTCAACTTATTACCTATTTTAGACATGTACGTAGAATATAAACTAAAATCCTATAGGTACACTAATTTATCTAACCTATTTTCCACAAACTAGTCATAAATTATTCAAAATACAGTCCGTACTCCACCTTTTTACGTAAAACAGTTACAAAAACGGGGCAGAGCAGTGCATGTTAAAAAAGTACAGTCAAGTAAATAAATGCAAAAAAGCACAGGTGCTCGAAAAAAATAAAGAGCCCGCCACGTCGGCCGAAACGGAAAAGTACACTCGGGCAAAATAAAAACTGCACTCTTTGTACTCAGTCGAGTACTTGATCTTTTGCGGGCGGCGCCGACGAAATCCGTAGAGATGACGGAGAATTTTTTCTCTTTGAGAGTCTCAGTATTTTCATTGGTTGAAATTATTAGTTTGATATTTTTAACTTAAATTAAAAAGGACTTTGTCTTTAAATGACTAGTATTTTTATAACATTTTTTCTTCATTTTTACATGACATAACTGATAAAATTTACATAATATTGAATGTTATTTCATAAGAAAAACAAGAAACCTAATGTTTTCTTTACAACATCTAAAACAAACTTGAGTCATTAATTTCATATATATTATTTTAATCATGACAAGACGTCACACTATTTACTTACCCTTTTATTGTAAGCCAAGAACGCCTTAACAAATAGTCTACTCATTACTTAACAACATCGACAACTCCATTGCTTTGACAGAACAAAACAAAACTAAGATACACATTGTCTAAAAAAATACCCAACATTTGCATGCCGATTTCCAATGAATTTATCGTTATTGCGTCTCGATTTATTACAGCGTCGCTTTCCGAAAAAATCCACCGAAAATGACCGAGCGAATTTAAAATTCAAATTGCAATTGTTTTTCGTTTTAAAATTGAGACGATTTTGACGTCTGCCGTCGTATCGTACTACGACATGTGTTTATTGTTTTTTTTGTTTAGTTTTTTTTCTCGTCGACTGTACTTTTGTTGTTACGTTTTACGTATAAATCAATTCGGTTAAGTTGTCTCTTTTTGTTTCGCGGCCCTTTTAAGTATAAATATTGCTTTAAAAATGCTTTTAATGATGTATGTTGAGTGTTCGAGTTTTTAGAACGATGTCTTTAGAATCCCGACTTATTTATTGGCACCGAAAAAGAATGAATGCAGTTTTAGCAAACTTTTTGTGCCGTTTGACATGGGAAGATGTTTTTGTTGAAGCGTTTCGTGGTAATTTCTAATCTTGTTGATACAGAAATAGATTTCTGAGTAGAAAACAGTGTCCTAGACTGGACTAGACAGAGTCTAAATCTGTTTATAGTGCCAAGAGACGCATCTTAAATTGGTAATTACGACTGTGACTTTACTTATACTAGAGTAACCGTTGACCGCTACTACCTAAGGTGCTTTTATTTTAACTGTCAAACACCAAGCGGTCACCGGTGACCGCAACCTATTGTTGTTTATTTGTCTATAAATACGGTACTCGACGAGTTAAAGTCTATTTTTGACACATTAAATACCAACATAATATACATGCTAACTAATGTTCAAAGTCTGCTTAAATCGTCTACGCAAATACACCAAAAAGAATCACCTATAAAACTTTTAAAAAAAAAGAGAAAACCGAACTGGCTGAACATTTAAAAATCACAGAAGCAAAGATAATGAAATTGTTTTTTTTTAAACGCTCCTAACTGTAACATCTTGTAACAAGGGTGGTAGGGAGCGGTAATTATGAAAAGTGTTCTAGGGGGGAGGGGGGCGACGGGAGACCGTTTAAAAAAAGAAGTATAATGACCAGCCAGCTTTTAAAGTTAATAGGTTTGAAAGGATACTCCTTACTCTTTTAGACATTTTATCTTTTTTATGAAGTGAATCGACGAAATCTTATTATGTGTAACGCTTTAGGTAGGTACGTGATTTTTTGTCATTATATTGCAAGATGTGAATACGTTTTTGAGTAATAAGTATAATAATGTTTATTAACGGAAAAGTTATTTAACAGAGACTGCCTCGTTGGCCGAGTGGTCGCAAGTGCGACGCCGGGCAAGGGGTCGGTTCAATTCCCGGGTCGGGCAAAGTATTACTGGGTTTTTAAAAAAATTCTCAGTAGTAGCATGGAGTCTGGAATTGTGCCCGGTATATGGCAATAGGCTCACCCCCTATTACATGGAACTCATAACATAAATAGTGAAAAGTGGGTGTTACATTGTTCAGTGGCATAATGTGCACCTCTGCCTACCCCTTCGGGAAAAAAGGCGTGATGTTATGTTATGTTATTTAACAAAGAATATCTTCCCGTTTCATCTTTGAAACTTGTGTTAGAAATTAGTAGGTATTAAGATTTTTATTAACATAAAGTTCTGTAGTAGAAAGGTGTTCTAAGAAAAATAAAAGCAGTTCAGTAAAACCTGTTATTTGTTAACCTTGTTATATAGTAGTTGCAGTTAAACGAATATTTCTATAAGCTCATAATTTGGTATCGATGTGAATAATTCAGCGCCACATCGATTTTTCCACGAATAAACTATGTTGGAGGCGAATTCACTACGGTTGTATTAAAATTAATATTACTATGTGTTAGTGGTCAAATATGAAGGTTATTGTACATTGTCATAACGTTAAGTATGAAATTAGTTTACAACAAACGTATCGTGGGTTCGAAATTCGATTCTTTAGCGGAACAATTTTGGTTTTCGGTGTTGGTCTCATGAAAAAAGGAGTTTTGAAAATTTGCATTTTAATACATTTACAATCAATTTTTTATTAACGTCTATTATCTAATAATATTAAATAAAACTGTTAAACAATTTCATAAGTTTACGCGAAAACAAACAATCTTACACAATCCATTATTTAAATTTAAATTTGAAAAAAATCTACGTAATGTATACCACAATAATTTGTATAACTGTTCACCCCTTTTTTAACAAAACGTGACAAAGCAAACGGCAACGTTTAAAATGAAGGTCTCTACCTACCCCATCTCGTTTGGTAATTTTTACCACTTTTCTTATAGGTATCTGCTATCTCTCATAATTTTCTCGGAACCCATTATGGCCGTATTTATAGCCCGTCCTTTTTTATTTATGTCATTTTTATTTTTGCGGTTACGAAAAATACTGAAATAATTTAGTTCAATTGACCTGGTTTTTAGAATGGTATAATAAGGGCATAATAATGTAATATGTATTAGGCATATACTAAATTTAATCTAGGTATCCTAATTTCAATAACAATCAGTAATTTTTAAAGAAATAGTTGCATAAGTAACTTAATATATCTTGACAAACTACATCAATCACTAACTAACCATTCATATTAATTTCTAAATAAAACTACTTTCCTACTTACCTCTACTTATAACAAGAACAGATTTCTCTTATTCTCAAAATTAATATAACTAATAATACAATATTTGACGTTTGTAATAACTAATAACATTTGCAGTCTCAGTGTCATACAACCACGTGTAACCGTTTTAATATAACACTTGCTACTATTAATAATAACCGCTCATAAGTAGCTAACGTATTACGTTGTTATTTACTCTGTATTAATAGTAATCTTTATGTCATATTTGTTTTTAATGGATATGAAGCCTAAAGACGATTTAAAACACTATGATTGTAGATTTCTAACCATGATAGTACTTCGTAACCATCCAAAAAAGATGTATGTTACATATTAATTAACGTCAATAAAAAAATATTAATCAATATAATAAAACTTTTAATCATAGTTACAGTTTGATAAATAGTTGTAACATTTCAAGGACTCGCTTCAGACATTTTTCTTTCACCGCCTCCCATTTTTTTCTTCGCTCGTAACTCACGAGAAAGAGTTTTTGGTTAAAACTTGAAAATTTATTTCGCAATTAGCGGCAGGACACTCTTAACTCAAGACATTATTAGAAAACTTTCTTAGCGGTCGTAAAAACATCGTTTTTTAGCTGTAAAACGACACCTGCCCGTTTTTCGGCAATGAATACTTTATTATTGATCATTTTTTAATATAGCCGTTACAAGGAAAGTAGGTAG